ATTGTCCGTTGCAGAGTTTGAAAATGTTTGAATGATATTTTTCATATTCAATCATCGCAGAACTCGGAGTATCTTATGTAAGTGGCGTTAACACAACTTGCTCTCGCAGTTGATGCTTGTAAAATTTAAACATCAAAGTCAATCGCCAAGATTTTCACTTTGTTCTTCAGTTTTTATAATACCAAAAGTTTGAGCACGTAAATGCGTAGCTCATGCTGAGAAAAGCGGAAAACAGAAGAACGCGTGAATATCTGTTTCTTTGCATTGTCCAAGCTAGTTTCCAAGCTAGTCTAAGAATAAATTATCCAGAGATAGTCTACTTTTTCAAATGATCGAAGACTAGTCATCATAAAAACTATAGAATTCACAATACCGGAGCAGCTATTCATATCGACTCGACGTCGATTCGTGTCCAATGAAGCATTTGAATGAATAATTGATAAGAATCGAATTTAACTGAAACTTCCAAGTCATGGAAAAATAAAGTTTACCGATCTAAGAATGGTGCAGGAAATTGGTTGGAAAAATAAGGTCACTGTGTTGCTTCAGGCGTCTCGACACAGCATTGTAAGCAAAAGGCCAAGAGTGTGAATGTAGCTTGCTAGCCAGGAGGCAGCAGGGAGCCCGCGGTGGCGGCGCTTCCTTCTCACGACCACGTAAATACGTGCGAGCGTGAGCAAGTGCCTCGGCTATAAGTGCACTTGCGCGAGCCGTAGCCACGGAGCTCGTAGCTGCAATGACACTGCCAGCTCACGCACAAAACTCAATACAGCACGGACAAGCGCCATCCTGTTTTTTTTTCTTCTTTTTTTCTTCTCTTCTTTTTTCTCGCAGCTCTTTCCGTGTCGCGGCCTGCAGCAGAGATTTTCGCTGTTCGGTTTCGAGTTACGAATGTCCTCTCGTTCGCTTCAGCCCGGACATCCGCTGCCGCTTCGAATAAAAACTCAACTCGATTCTTCCTTCTTGTTTCCCCTAGTAGCAGCATCAGTCACGAGCGCAGCAGCTATTCTCTCGCGCTAGCTTATCTTTTCACCGCGATTTAGCCCGGCATGCAACTTCGCGCTTATTCTCCCTCTTACCTGTCCCCACCCGCTCAATTTTTGTTTATTTCACTGCCGTAATTTTCGTCGCGCCGCACGTTCTATGGACGCTCGCGGAAGTTACTTTTCCAAAGTCCAAAGGAAAAGAGACTCGACAATCATATCTCGGGAATTTGATGATTGTCCACCCGACTGTACGAGTTATTTACTCGAGCATTCGTTGCTGCAATGTCTATACTCATTTTTTCTGTCAATTAATTTGAAAAGCCATCGACATTCAGTCACAGTGAGGAGCAAAAACTACATTCAATTAACGTATCCTGCTTTACACTTTTTGGTAAAAATAAACCTCCAACTTTTTCAGCAAACACGATGATTGCTGTTAGTATTAATTGGAAAAAAGTGTGTCACTTACGTATGCAAAAATTTTACTGCTGCAAAGATCGTGCGTTATAAAGATAGAACTATTTGGGCGCACTAATACGAGTATTAGTTAGCCATAGCCAATTAGAATCTGGGTATACGATAGGATTTGCTGATTTACCGATGTTTTTTCCGTCCTCTTACTCGGTGGGGGCATTGAGCTGAGCATTTCGGCCTATATTCGGTTATTTCCTTGTCCCCCACGATCCTGGCAGATGCCGTTGGGAATGGAATTTTCTTATTATTTATGAAAAATACGTGTGAGCTTGTAGCTTGCTAGAAAGGTTTCGCTCAATCATTATAACAGGTAGTTTTAGATCGAAGCAGATCAGCTCGCTGTTAAGTCGCTTTTGCCAAAGAAGCGAGAACAAAGACGGCAAGGTGCGAAACAGCTGCCCGTAACTTTCATTCAACTCTATACCCCGGAAGTCCATGTTGTAAATCAGTTGCGCTGGCATCGTTTATCCCTAAGATTTGGCTTGCTTAATTCGAAAAAGCCTCGGCCGACTTTTTCCCTTGGGCATGTGCAGCTTTTAATCGCAACGTTGATCGAATAAGACGTGCGCATCCATTCGGAAATGGCTTTTGTCATTGCCAGTTCCAAGTGAATAGGCTCACATTTGTACAAGCATTTACCAAGTCGTGCTATGAGAATCTAAAAGCCAATGAAAACGATGCTTTGCAAAGCCACTTACTATTTCTAAGCCCTTTCTTATGGCGGCAAATGTAAATATGCGCGATATCTATTTGTTTAAGTCAAAGTAAAGAGAAAGAAGAAAAATAATAAACTGTGATGGGTTTTCGAAAGCGGAGTTGGCAGTCAAATCGACGGCCACTCGATCGATAGGTAGCAATTAATATTATTTCAAAAAGTAAGGTAAATTAATTTAGGCAGTTGGCCGGTGATGGCGACAGACGATGGCGAATCGGAAGCATTGTCATCTCGGCAAGTTAGCCCACCTGTGCTTCCAATTAGCGGCCGCGAATCGCTTTATATAAATTGCCACGTCACGAAGAATCAAGCGCGAAATGAAAAATGTGACATGCGATGCTATTTCCGGGTGGAAGCGCGAGTAGCCATACTAGATGCTGCGGTCGCGTGTCGCTGCAATTTATAAAGCTGCTGCGTACAAAACTGGCTGGACTTCCGGTGTTGGAAGTCGAGCTAGGCGCATTCCGCGTACAGCTCTGGGCTGCGAGGAGTCGTCGAGTATTCGCGAGCGCTCGAGCAGATAATACGCGCCAGATATCGCAGCTGCCTCGCTGCGCGCCAAACTTCATTCAGCGAGCAAAGAGAGAGAGAGAGAGAGAGAGCTGCGCTATAGACACTCTAAGACTTTTATGAATGGAGTTGTGACCCATTTCGCTATTGTCGCGCGCTACGCTCGACGGCCTACTCGAGTTACTCGCTCCGCAGCTTAGGCTCCTAGATACGCAATAGAAAGTGCAGCTGCATGCGAAATGCCTCGCGGCTCGTGTATTACATTGCGTTACGTCTGCTTACGTGCCATACTCTGGCCGCAGTTGAATTACTCGACATATTCGATCGTCTTTGCTCGATTCGAGTTTTACGAGCCTACTTTTTTCTACCTTAAGCGTCGTCTCGAGTCCTGCAGCCGTTGTTGGAAGCTGCATTTGTTTCGACGATTTACATGGAAATAATGGAATAACTTGCAAAACTCGTAGAGCTTCAAAAATGCATGCGGCTTCAGCGTCAGCTCCCTTCGTCATATCTCTTAATTAGTTCGCTCATCGCTCGTGCGAGCAGCCTTTTAAAAACACCTTTGATGTCGTCTATGTGTCGGGGACTCGGGGCTCGCACTTTGCGCTCGCGCGCCAACTTCTGGGAAGTGCGCGCGCCAAAATTTCTCCGTGCGTATACGGTGTATTTTCGTCCGAAAGCCCTGACTCGGAGCATCGCGCGCGGGTCAAGGGACAAATGCTCGACGGCGTGGATGTGTCCCGACAGAATAGCAGAGTAAAAATCTTGCGCTTGCGTATTTTTTCTCATCGCCGAATCCCTGTGTCGGATATTCGTTCGGACAGTCGTGCAAATGGAAGGAAATAATTGAGGACATCGATCGACGGCCGAGGCGGCAGCAGTGACTAATTGCGCTTGCGATGGCATTTTGGTCGCGCCCCTCGGCTTTTCGCGACTGCTCGCTTGCAGCGTTGGCTCAACCCTGCACGTGCGTCTGTTTTGGCGACCGCCTTCTCCAGTCGTCGCCGTCGCCGTCACGCCACCAAAACTCTTTTTCTTTACCATATCCCATATCATTATATGTACTTGTATATGTGCATTCTCATATGTGGCTTTTATACACATTTAGATTTATTTCCAAGAGAGTCGGCTTATGCAGTCGAGAGAACACGAGGTTGAATCGTACATGCGTCAGAAGCTATTTTTACCTCCTAAAACTTCGTCTCGTGCTCTTTTCTGCATTTCCGAAATACGCGCTCCTTGTTATGCCTTCGGAGGGCAAGCATGCGACCTTACGCTGCAGCTACTTTGCATAGCGGCTTGACCTCTTCGACGATGTTTTAGCCAAACATACACATTTTCTATTGATATATAAATAATGCATTTCGGTCATTGCTCGAGTTTAAATTTCCAGACTCACACAAACTTTTTTTATCGAATGAAAGTTCTTTCAAAATTTTCTCACTCGGCTTGGAACTCATGACAGCATTGCTTCAGTCTTTAGTACGATCTAAAGATAACGATTATGGATGTATTTATAAAAATAATTCAGATGAAACTTTGTACAGGAGATGTTCGAACTGCAAGTTTATCGATAATCGATACTGAATTGATATTGAGAAGTAGAAGAGAGTGTATGTGCAGAAGGTGCGCGACAACTGCAATTCGGAAAGCAGATAGGCCTTTTAATATCGATACACTCGAGCTATGGCTTCCCGGTATGGCTGTAGGTTTCGTATCCGGTTGTCGACCGACCGAGCGACCGACTGGCGAAGGAAATCGCTGCACTCTTTTATGTGCGCTACCTTCTACGCATCGGTATGTCTGCGATCTCGCGTGCGCTGCCTTTACATATCGAGCAACTCTACGCAAAACAGTGCAGTACAAAAAACGAGTATAGTAACGAAAAGGTGTGGCTCGCAGGCATACTGTATAGCCACGCTTGTGCTCATCGCGAACGAGTTGCATCATGCCAATCGTAGCCTGTCAACGTTACCTTTCACGCTCCCCTTTTTTCCAGTTCTAATAATCAACTTGATGCATTTTATTTCCCTTACAAAACCAAACTACACTCATCAATTTAGTTGTAATTTTTATCGACCATTTAAACATTTTAAAGGCATTCAAAAGGCTATGAAAACCACCGAGCAATTACATTTTCGAGAATCGTCTTTGAAATGATGCCCGTTTTTTTGTAAAATTTTAATATTTATTACTGAAAACCACTTTTTTTATTATTCTCTTAAAGGCAATGTCTATTAAAACTATATACATGATGAAAACTTGAAGCGATTAATACAGTAACAATAAAATCTGTAATTTAATTTGTTTTTCAGTATGCTGGTATACGCATTGGTCCTGTAGTCAAAAAGGATGTTATGAAGGCCTCCATCATGTTGGAACACGACAGTCAGTAAGTACATACTTTAAATAATTAAACTGGGAAACTGAGTGAAAAATTGGTATACGATAAAAATATAAGAGATTATAAACTGATAGGAGAAAAAGTTGCTAATAAAAGTAGCCGCCTTTTCGTTCAAATTTTCTTTTTGCTGCGAGAGAGCAAAATTAATAGTTAAAGGTTTTCTATTCTTCTTTAAAAAATCATCTTTATATATTATCCTTGACAAGTTTACATAATTCAACAAAAAAGAAGAAAAAAAATGTAAGAAAAAAGGCTATATTCGGGAGAACAAAAGAAATTGTGATCAAAAATTACAATGCAATAAAATTGCATCTACGTCTTGAGGAAGAAAAAAGATCATATCAATTAAAATCAAGTTTGAGATTTACAAAACCTAAAACTTATCTACTTCTAAATAGATGAACCAATAAAATGTCTAAACTTTATGCACGAAAATTACAAGCCATGCATTCGAATCCTGTTTTTCGGACGGTCAATTTTTTTTTTGCTTCGTCTGCACCCTAAACACAGCTTCCGTGTGGCCAATTGTCAAATGACAATGATAATCACCAAACCACATCCTTTTCTCGCATCATTTCCGTTTTCTTTTATATTTACGATTATTTTTGCTGCTGCTATTATTGTTATTATTATTATGCAAGATTGCAAGTTATTTGAATTGAAAAGAAGATGAAGGAAAAAAGTTCAGCACTACGCGATGTAATATTTGGCTGAAACAAAGCGCAGTGTCTCTTGATTCTGGGATATGAAAATAACAATACCAGTAGCATCAATAATAATGTTAACCATGATTATAATGATAAAAATAATTACTAGCCCTACTTTTAGCGTGCTCCACGCGCTCTCTTCTATCTTTTCCAATTTCTTCATTTTTTAATATTTAAAGTAGAAAAATAAAATGAAAGAAGTTGATGTATTATAATTTTTACAAGTATACAATGGACCGGCTTTTTCGCACTAACGCTCTCTCTCTCGAAAATCAATCAAAATCAGTCACATAGGCCACAGATTAATGTTTCACATTTTGCATTTGCTCACACAAAAGTCTCACCACTCTTATTGAATAGGATAATAATTATGAAAAGAAAAAAAAATAATAATAATAATAACAATAATAATAATAATGAAAGGTTAAAAGAGCTGACAATGACAGGATATTACTTTACGGATCGGTGAATTCGCTCGGAGAGCTGAAGTCGACTACATTGAAGATAAAAAGCATATGTATAAACTGTAGAGGCTTCTGCGTTCGTCGCTTTTACCTCTGGAAGCATTGAAAAAAGCTCTGAAGGCACTGCTTTTGTGCTGTTTTTATTTTCTTTTTTAATTGATCTGCGGTCAGTAGCTTTAGAATCGAGATTTCTTTTAAACATGCGGTTAGGGAAAAAAGTAATCTTCAACAGGAACTAGATTTTTAATTTTTTTTTCATCTTGAAGACAGTCGCGTTGCTCATGATCGAGACAGAAACTAATGCTTATATTAGTTTGTGCTAATCTGTGAATTTTCTCAATCTAATCTCTGTTGTATAAGAACGCTTAACAGCTGAACATAAATAATACTGTATTAAACTTTTTCTATTTCTTAATATTGATTATGAACTTTGATTATGAACTAAATGAAAATTTTTTGAACCGAGTAAAATGAAGCAAAACTTTTATTGTTTTTTTTTTTTTTTTTTCAGATATGCTACAATTTTGGCGTTCGACGTTAAGATAGAACGTGATGCACAGGAATTAGCAGATTCCCTAGGCGTTAAGATCTTCCAGGCTGACATAATCTACCACCTGTTTGACAGGTTCACCGAGTACAAAGAACAATTAAGATTGCGTAAACGCGAAGAGAACAAGCACATCGCCGTCTTTCCTTGCAAGCTCAAAGTTTTACCACAGGTATGGTATTTATCAATATTGACAAAAAGTCACGTGCTCTTACTTATTATAGTGCCTTATACACGATATCAATAACATGCTTATAAAAAACGCTTTTACTATTTAACCATAGACCTCTCTTATTTGTAAGTTTAATAAACTTTTGGATGACAGGTAAATTTTATCAGATCTGTCGAGTATTCAATTGACCAGTACTGCTTTAACTGTTTTGATCGTAACTAGTCGATTAGGATAAGCATTTGTTATTTGCATGATTTTGATTATTGCATTTAATATTATTACAAGTCCGAATTTATAAATCATAATTACTTTTTTGTAAACGAAATGAAAATTAATTCATGTCAAAGTGGTAAAAATATCGAGCACTAACACAGTGGATAGCTTGGATCGGATCTGATGCTCGTGTAGGAAAACTGCAACGTTTAGTAAGAAACTCGTATTAGCTTTTAGGCTTTAGACTTGAGACTAATACAGCTGCTGCTGCTACTCGTACTTCAAAAGACATCATTATGCCTCGTGAATGAATATAAATTATCAACTATACATTTTTTATTTAAATTTTAAAAATAACCAAAAACAATCTACAAGTACACTGTATAGTTGAAAATATGCACTATATTTGCGGACTTGAGACGCGAAGAGAAAATATCGAACTAACGAGCGCAAAAAGTAAAAGACGCCAGATAGAGACAGGAAGGAGGACTTGAGTGCAAATGAGAAAGAAGATCTTAGAAGCGACCAAACGACACTGTGCGATCTCGTGTATGTATGTACGAGTCTATATGTGTGTAGATACGGCCGGCTGCCAGGAAGTCGTAGGAGAAAAGCAAGCAGAAGTAGCCGCGGGGATTAAAGTCGCGCGCAAAAAGAAGAAGCTGATAGGCAATGAGAGCGAGCAACCGAGTAAGAAAGAGAGGGAGAAAGAGAGAGAGAGAAAAATGCTTCAAAGAAAGAGAAAAAGAAGAAGAAGAAGAAGAAGAGGAAAAAGAAGAGAGGATAAAAAGGAGCTCGACTCGCGTGCTTGCAAGAGGGTGATCGCTGCTGCTGCTGTTGCCATAGACCGGAAACGATAGATTTCGTGCCCCGCGCGATCGCCCGAGGATCGGCATACACGCACGCACACAAGACTGCATGCATACGAGGCTCTCTGCTCAATCCTCGTTCGCAATCGGCTACCAACGTGTGCGTATGCCTACGTATTCCCGTGCGCGCTTGTGTCTGTGCAGGAATAATGCAACAAGCTCATATGAGCAAGAGCGGGGATATCCATCCATTCAGCTGCCTTTCGACTTTCTTTCATTCTCCTTTTTATCCACTTTTATTCGCTTCGATACGCCAACTGCATGGGCTGCGGCAGTACAATGTAATATACCTGTTATTCGCCCGCCTCCGTAGTCAGCGCAGCAGAGCAGCTATCTACCTTTATAAGGCTTGTGATGATGCTGATCGCTGAGCGCAGCTGCTCGATTTCCATCGATATTGCACTCGACCGCTTCTTCTTCCTTCTCGTCCTCGTCGTCTTCTTCTTCTTTTCTTTTTCTTCTTCTTTTTCTTTTTCTTCTTTTGCTCTTTCTGCTGCATACTAAATTCATGAAAAAAAAGTTTCTCGGCTTACTTCTCAACTGATAATAATTAAAATAAAATAATAAAAAAGAAGCTCGACGGCCCGATTAAATTATGATTTATCATCAAGAAAAAATTGTTCGTTTCTGCTTCGTTTGATTCACGTGAGCTAAGGACTGGAACGTCGTCTTACCGTTCGATTGTCATGATCTGTGCTGCATGACGTAAACAAATTATTAATATTTATTCGATAATTAACAACAATTGCTGACCGACCTATTAATGCAACGCCGAAACATCGAAAGCAGCAGCCACAGCGTGTTTGCGATTCATGGAATGTGAAATATGTAAATTGCTTGTATCGTAGCNCTCTCTCTCTCTCTCTCTCTCTCTCTCTCTCTCTCTCTCTCTCTTTCTTTCTGTTCAAATGCAAAGATTTTATTTTGACATGTTATCCTCTTTTTGACTCAGTCAGTCTCATCGCAAATACCGCCGTGTGAATATTTTTATGCCTCTAAATTTTCTATCAAGTCCAGTACTGCTTGGGCACCATTGGTTTGCTTCTGAAATCCTGAATATCTGTCAATTTGATCTTCTTGAGCTTCGTGTATTTTTCAACATTCCTGTGCCTTTCAATCAGCTGCCCAAAATATCTCGTTGACTTCTTTTCACCGTTAGCATTTTTTTTCTTTAAAATTTCACGAATACTTTTGCGTAGACAACTTTTCGTTTTATGAATGAACGCTGTCGTAAGTCGGGAAGTCGAGTGAGCGGGAAAGTTTGAAATTCGTTATTTTACCATGACATTTTTAAATTGATTGAATAATAATTTTTGAATCTGAGTCCTTTATCGTTGTATGATTATAAAATTAGTATACTTTAATAAGATTAAAAATTTCTTTTATTACTAATAATGAGGATAATTAAATGAATGATACTAACAAGGAGACCACCCCAGCTCCGAGTCATGGATCTGCTCCAAAATTTTTTTGGGGTCTCTTGGTGCCCAATACTGAAGCTTCCTGTGCTTAGTTTGATCATCATTTTAGAGGATTTTCCACATTATAAAAAATTTTTTGTTATTTTCTATATCGATATAGAAGTACTTAAACGAAAAAATGCAACGATAAAAAGTTTTTAAATTTTTCAAAGAATCTGTTTGAATTTTTTCAGAATTTTTAGGACCATCTATCTCTTAATTCAAGAGGCCCAAATTTGACGCTTTTTTTATAGATTTTAGGACTTCTTTAAGAGAGTGGTAGATGGTCCTAAAAATTCTGAAAAAATTCAAGCAGATTCTTTGAAAAATTGTAGAACTTTTTATCGTTGCACTTTTTCGTTTGAGTTCTTCTATATCGATATAGAAAATAACAAAAAAATTTTTATAATGTGGAAAATCCTCTAAAAAAATGGGTCCTAAGGCCCATGAGATCAAACTAAGCACAGGAAGCTTCAGTATTAGGTACCAGGAGACCCCAAAAAAAATTTTGGAGCAAATCCATGACCTGGAGCTGGGGTGGTCTCCTCGTAAGTAAAATTATTGTATGCAACACGTGCCCAGCTTTTTGCGCCCAGCTTTTCGCTCACTCGTGCTCAAAAACGTTTTTTGGGCACTTGTTACATGATAGTTATTTATGTAACAAGTGCCCAAAAGGCGTTTTTGGGCACGAGTATGCGGAAAAAGACACGAGTGCCTGCTATGCCTGCACGAGTAGGTGTTTTTTCCGCACATTGTACGCAAAAGGTGGGCACGTGTTGCATACAAAATTTTATGCAATAGTAGGCGAAAAATACGTTCACTTAAGTGAGGCGTTTTACCGCACACCCGTGTCCAAAATGGGGCATTTTACCGCACGCCAGTGTCGAAATGAGGCATTTTACCGCATACAAGTGCCCAAAAACGCTTTTTGCGCACTAAAAAATGTGCGAAAAAAGACATTTTTGGTCATACTATTGCATAAAAAATATTAATAAAGTTGCACTAAGAACGCAATGAAACCAAAACGTTATAAATTTTTAAGTGTTCAAAATTCGACCGATTTTACTTAAGTTTATTAAAGTTATAGTAGTTTTGCACAAATTGACACTCCATCGGGAAATAAAGAACTAGCAGAAATATTAAACGCAGTAGAACTTTTAAATAATTCATAATTTCCTGCTTACGTAGAAAAATGCAATTATCAGAGATATTTTAGCACGCGAATGGGCTCTGCGTTAATTTGCCCCTCTAATGAACTTTCAAGACGGTTAATGTTGATTACAGTCGTCTAATAAATTATGGTTCTTTTGCTCGAAGTTTTGGTTAAAACTTACGAACTTGTTACTTACTGTTAAATATAAACTGCTCGATATAAAAAGGACGTTGTGGGTCACGGCAGATTTGTGCGCAGAGCACAACTCGAAATATCGATTTTTCAGTGGCACCTAGCGCACTGGCTTGTTTCATAAAAATTGTAAAGGAAACGGAAATTTACGGAAAAGGGAAACGGAAACGGATCACTTTAGCGAATGCGGGCATCAGTCGGCTCCGTTTAGCAACGCCAGCGCAGCAAATTATCTCGACTCGAGGAGATGCAATTCGCCCGTCCTCATCCGTATCATCGTCATCGTCCTGATCCGACAGTGACGTTATCACGGCCGCTTCTAGAATAGCTCGCCGCCGCCACTCGACCTCCAGCATCACATACGCCTCGTGACTACCGAGCTCTTTTCGCGAACAAGAAAAAGAGATCTCGAGTACAAAGTACAAAGTGTTGCCTTGCGATGCGCATAATGTGACCAAAACCCTTGAATTAACATTGCCGTCGAAAGAGCCGAATGCGAGAGACAAGGCAAATATGCGAGCAAGAGAAGGATGAAGTAAAGGAGAGAGATGTCATTGATCGATGCCGTGGCTGGCAACAGGAAGTGCCTTAATAAGCACACATGTAGACCAATTGGCGCGTTGCTCACAACGCGTTGAAGCTATACCTATAAATTCTCACAAAACGCACGAGTATTGCGTTTATTATACTGTCCCTTTTTACTCTACCATGGCTTTTATTCGGCCCAAGAGTAGAGATGTGCACTTGAGAGATTTCTTTTGCTTTTTGCCACTAAATTGCATATGTAATTTCTACAATATATATCATCAGGCCGTGACTGCTTTCAGTCTCCATAATTAGACTCTAATTCATTTCAAAGAATTAAACATTTTCTGAATTCATCTATAGCCAATTAATATGTTAAAAATTGTTACATTTAGTGAGTTTGCACATTTTTCTTTTGCGTTCTTAAACTTCGCAATCGCACATTTAATTTTTAGAGAATAATATATTACGTGCCTAGGAAGCGAAAAACTGGAAAGCCTCAGAGCACATGTTTATCAGCCTCGGACGATAATCACACTTTCTTTTTCGCTTCGTAGATGGGTGTACTATTTTTCATGGATCCCCCAGCAGAAGTTAACTTTTTCGTTTTGGCCGCCGGGACGAAAAAAGTTAGTTTCTACTGGAGGATTCATCAAAAATAGTATACGCACCTAACGAGCGAAAAACTGGAAAGCCTTAGAGCACGTGTAATTATCCTCCGAGGCGAAGCCGAGGCTAATATACTATTTCGCCACTATAACCTAAAAACTTTGCCGCTAATTTTAGGCTCTCGTAGGAAAAAATAATATC